GGAGCAGAGAGGTAGTCTCAGTAAGGTTTCACACCGTGCAGCTCCACCTGTATGAGCGATGTCGCAGTGATTCTCTTTGGTCATTGGGTGCTTTACCAGAAGCGTTTGTCGGATGCACTCCACCACTCGGCCCTGGATGCACGGCTCACACAGAATGTAGTCTGGAGCGATGCACGTCTGCCCACAGTTGATGAACTTCCCCCACGTGATACGACTGCAAACAAACCAGGTGGAGAACAACTTTACAATATTCACGTTTTGGTTTATTCTTAGAGGAACTTTATTCATTTTATTGAGAGTGTAGCTATCCCCCCCAAAATAAAAAAACAAGGAAAAAAAACGACGAGTTCGCACCTTCTTTTTCTTGCTTTGACATTTACTTCCCTTTAACTGAGAAAAGATTTGTTGCGGCCCCAGCAGGGCCTCCTCCTGAAGTTACCTGTGTGGGCGGGTCCTACCGTCTCTCCTGCCTTAGGTGCCACCTTTTTCTTTTGTACAGCTGACTCACATCAGCAATCAAAGGTATTTAAATGGTGATAGCGGCTTGTCCATCTCTGTTAGTTGAGTTATTAGTAGAAACTTTAATAAAACTCTCTAATTTAACCCCTTTTGCCGCCATGTCTCCTTTTTCTGACCCGCACACTTTTGTTACTTTCCCTGGACCCTTTTAGGGGAATGTAACAGATTCTGGTAACATCGAATGGTTCATGACATTTCTGTGAGTTTGATCTTTTCTATTTCGGTCCTTACAATAAAGAGTTTGTTGTTTTTTGTACAGTAGGCTTGACATATTTAACTAAATGACAGAGTTGGAGTTTAATTCAGTCCCAGGAGTTCCAGAAGAGTGGGTAAAAGTGTGCTGCGTTTAAGGACCTGTATTTTCCAGCTTTTTGAGTCCTTGTAATTGAAGCACAGGAAAAAGACTCAAACTAAGCTCTGTTTAACTGCAACCAAACCAAATGTATGTTTAAGTTCATTTACTCAATAAAACATCAAGGCCTAACATTTATGAACTGAAACCAAACAATGTTAGTCAAAATGTCCATGTGAAATTTTATACTCAGGAATTTCTTAACCAACATTTTAATATATTCAGCTTTCAAGAGTTTTCATGTTTCTTGTTGTATCCAGGTCACAGTGGCTGTTTCAGTGATAGTTACTGAGTTGTGGTTTAAAAAGTGCATGTGCTATACCAGCATCCACTGAAACATACAGAAGTATTAATGTACGTTGTTGGGGCTTGGAGAAGGTTGTAAGTTCTGCTATTATTGTGCTGAGCTTCAGTCACCCTGATATGTACCTGCAGACACAGTCAGCGCCTCTGTGCCCGCTTTGATTATCAGACTTTTAAATTCCCGTGTCAGCAGCTGTAATTCACTTCATTTGGCTAAATGTGGATTACCGGCAGGCGACCCTGATGTTGCAGTTCTTGTCGATGTAGCAGGGGCTCTTCCCTCCCAGCTCCAGGGTCACCGGGGTGAGGTGACGAGCTGCAGCTTCCATCACCAGTTTGGCCACTGTGCTGCTGCCCGTGAACACGATGTGGTCAAACCTGAGCCTCAGCAGTTCCTGGGTCTCTGACACACTACCTGTCACCACTGGGTACAGATCCTGCAAAACAAACACATTTACTGATATGTAAGTTATTTACATTAAGCACAGAGTAACTGACTGTAATATAGGTCAAGTTTCCAAACATATAGTGATGGGAAAATCTCTACTGGGGAGGGGGGGTCACACTTACATGTTTCAGATTAAACAAATTCTAATATTAGAGAGTGATAAACCAAATAAATGCAGTTTTAAATTATATATTAAGTGGAAAAGGCTCGCACACTCATGTCTGATTATCAGACCTGAAGAATCAATAAATCACTTAAACAGAACTCGAGTCACAAAGTAAAGTAGGCTAAAAGCAACACATCACACCATGATCTGAAGAAACAGATTAGAAACAAAAGCACTGACATCTGTGCGTCTGCATCAGCAACTCATCCAGGAGGTCACCCACGAACCCACAACAGCGTCTACAGAACGACTACTTTCCTCAGCTAAGGTCAGAGTTCACGATTCAACAGGATGACTGTTCATGCTCAAAAACCCTCCAGCGTGGCTGACATGAAACAGTAGAACCTCACAAACGCTTGACTGGAATTAGGTTTATTAGGTTTAGGAGGAAGTTACCCTTTCCCACAGGGCAGGGCAGGTTTGCAGAGCTTTTTTCCTTAATAAATGAAATCATCATTTAAAAACTGCATTTTGTAATTGCTTTGGTTATTTTTGTCTATTGAACTTTGTTTTTTGATCATCTGAAACATTTAATGTGCAAAATTCCTGTTTTGTAGCAGCATATTCAGCGAAATGGCAACAAACGTTGAATCCTGTGTGTCATTGGGGTCTAAATGTCTGAAGCACTGTAGTATGATGGCTCAAGGCTTTAATGCATGAACAATAGACCTGGTGTTCAGACCTTGTCCAGATAGCGAGGCAGCAAAGCCCGGAGCAGCAGCGACGAGCACTCGCTGAGCTCCGATGGCTTCACCACAGCTGCGTTCCCTGCAAAGAGAGAACAGTTTTCCATGAACGGGATGAGATCACCGTGTGACGCAAAGCCGGCGTGTAGGAGGCTGAGAATGCAGAGAGAGAGGCAGTCAGATGCACTCTGTTTCCATTAGTATTTTATTTTTTGAATCGGTTTTGCAAAAGTTGAACGACAGGGAGCAAAGACTGCGTTTCTGAGCCGTCAGCTGACATGTCTGGTACCGAGACAAGCTGATCAGCTGGGACTCTGACTAGGACCAGTTTATCAGTTTATCAGTTACATCGATTGTTTCTGTATTTCATGGAGTTCAGCTGACTTTTTTACCTACATTTAAAAGAAGAGGATGTTATGTAGAGTAAAACATTCCCAGTGTGGGTGATTGCCTTGTTAGATCTGTTAGAAATACAAAATACATTTTGGGTTTGATAAAGTCTAACACGACAGAATCCAGCTGCACACAACTGAAAACAGCACAGTGACTGTGACACCGGGTTGCGGCCGTGCCTTCTCAAAGCCATCTCAGACTGCTGTTATCAGGGGTACGTGACTGTCGCAGGTGTGGAGAGAGTGTCTCCCTACCTGCAGCAATGGCGCCAACAAGTGGCATGAGAGTAAGGCCCCAGGGGTAGTTCCAGGCCCCGATGATGAGTACGACTCCCAGCGGCTCTGGCTGGATATAAACCTCATCTGATATCGTGAGGAGGTTCTTTTCTGCCGGTCGCGGAGCAGCCCACTCTCCAAGCTTCTCAATAGCCAGCTTAATCTCGTTCTCGATTCCAATCAGCTCCAGGAGTGGTGTGTCATACTGACTCTGCAGGAAACCCAACACAGTTTTCAGTTAAGCAAGCAAACGAGCCCCGATATACACATTGTATTTCACATCTTATTCTTAGTCTCTCGTGTCTGCTAACTCTGTTGATGTCCTGTTTGAGAGCAGTGGCTATCTCCGTCTCTTTCTCAGCGATCATCCTCTGCAGCGCGTGGAGCTGCTGCAGTCTGAACTCTAGAGGTCGAGTCCTGCCGCTCAGGAAGGCCTCCCTGGCCCGCTGCACTGCCTGCCTCTCCATACACACACCTGCATGAGAACAGAAAAGCGTTTGTCCACAGGACTCTCAAATGTTCACAGATAAGCTGTCGTTCTAGCAGAGGTGTTGCAAACATTTCTGCTGTCACCAGGAAAGCCTGTCTGCCCTCCTAGCTTACCTTAGAGTGAGCATGTGCGCTCTGCCGAACTAATGTTTTACTCTCAGCAATTTGAAGAGCAAAACAGACGACTGTAGGTTACAGAGTTTAATCTTATCAAAGGCTTTACAGACAGACAGCAAAATAATAAAAAGCAGCCACGAGGCTCACAAGCAAGAGACACCACACACGCGCACACACACACACACACATACACGTGCACACACGCGCGCGCGCACACACACACAGACGCGCGCGCACACACACACAGACGCGCGCGCGCACACACACACAACAAATGATTTGATAAACAACTGACACGTCTGAGAAAATGAACTGAAGTTTATCCAAGTAAAACAGGCAAAGGTAGATTTTCAGCCCCACGTGTTACGTACTGTGGACACTTTGCAGTCTGTTAACTGACACAATGTCAGTGACAAAGTGGAATAAGAAACGTAAAATATACTTTAGTTCCCTAAAATAAAGAACTTTAGAAGAAATAAACACACTAAATTTAAAAATACACGTACGTGACAAAACGAAGTCAAATAGAACATGTATCCTGTATGATGCATGTGTTTTATTGTCACATGTTTGCATAGCTGATAACTGTGCTGTGATAAAGTCTTAATTGTTGCACGCTGAGAAAAACTTCCCGCATCGTAAATACCTGGCTGTATGTTGCTTGCTGATTGATGAAAGATGAGTAAATAAAAATGAAGCGCTCCGCTGGTGTTCGCAGACCGGACGAACAGCTCACATCACTACAGAAAACTGATTCTGTCCGCTAAATGCCGCACAGCTCGTCATTTTACAATTAATCAATCGCGTTATTGATCACCGATAATTCACCATGGCGCCCACTGTCAAAGTCTGAAACTTACCGAAGCTCAGGTGGAATTGTCCCTCAGATATAAGCTGCAGTCCGTCACTCGTGTGATCTCACGGACGCGCTGCGGGATCCCTCCCTCACCCAGCGCCCTCACCCAGCATTGTCCTGTGTTCATCGGTCACGCTGCTCTGGGATCAGTTTACCGGGGTAGATTGGTTACCGTGTCCGAGTTCACCGAGACCGATAACGTCGTGCGCATGTGCACACCCCACCTCAGCTTCAGTAATGAGGAAACTTTCAGCTTGGTTCATCTTATCTTAATAGCAGTTATTCAGTCAGCCAATCTATTACAGCCTTGGGGTGATGTTAATGATATACCACAGACAAGAGATAAATCAGGTGTGCACGAGCCAAAGAAACGGACAAAGTAAGCTCAACAAATCCCTGACTATGAACTTTTTATTGATGTTCAACAGCAGGCAGAACAGACATTAACACGGAGAGCTGGCATCTTGCTGGCTTACCTCTAAAGCAGGAGTTAACAGTGATTTCGTTTTTATTCTTAAAAGAATCACAGCATCACAGACAGGTTTGTATTTTCAATATCTACCAGAGTGAATACTGAAGAATTAAACTCAAAGTGTAGCTAAACGTGTAACAGAAAGGAGATGCAACAATAACAGAAGAAAAACAAATATCAGTGAAATATCATGGAGCATGAAACATCCGCAGTGCTGTGATTAGTCCATGTGGCTGTCCCGGGATCGCCTCAGCGCCGGCACAGCGCCATCTACCTGCTTCATCGCAGGAACCTCTGCAAACAACAGATGACAAAGCTGTCAGCAGTGGGAGACAGTTTTAACTGTTCACATGAGCATGTGTGGATGTCCACAAAGGCAGTGGGGTGGACTAAAACAAAGGAGGCTATTTAGCCATGGGGAGTGAAGCATGCTGGGTAATTAAAGGGAGGGTAGACGAGCAGGCATTACCGGTATGTGGTTAGATCTCCTGCACAACACCACACATTGTGTCCAAGAGACAAAGCTATTGTTGTGTCCAGTGTACAAGCCTGTGGACGGTGGGTGTATGGGGGGCACGAGTACCGAGATTCATTCGGGAAAACGCAATTATTTACAAAGTTGTAACCACACAAATAATGCACTAGAAGGGGATGACATATGTCTGCAGTGCTGTGCAAAATATTACTGTGCAAAAGTAGAAGAACATGTGACACCGGCACGCAGACGACCTGATTTTCAGTCCTGCTCTTGTGTAATTTGCATCACCTCAGCCTTTTCTCCTCATTTACCTTAAGAATGACTTTACAACCTCCGTCCACTGGAACCACTGGATTTATTCCAATTTATTAAGATCATGACTTTCAGACATGCTTTATCTTTTCTTTTTTTGTTTACAGGACACGCTACTCACCAAGCTGAAATACACCAGTTGTTTTTTGGCTGGAAGCCCTTCTGGGGATTACCTTCCTGGTGCAAAATACTATTTTATGCCTTTAAAACTGCGTTATCTTTGTAGATTCAACTAAAGTAACAGGAACAAATGTGGTCCTAAACAGTTCATGTAATATTGGTTCTTTGATAAGCCATCAGTTATATGTAGACAATACTGTTTGATTCCTTGACTTCGGTGCCTTTTATACACTTGAATGATTCATAGGTCACTGGTACGTGGTTTAAAACTGTCAGGTACAAGGACTGGAACAAAAATGAGTGAAAAATGCTGAGAGACCTTCAGAAAGCCTGAATTTCTGCTCAAGACCACTTTAAAAATACTTTAGAGTACTTTAATCTATGGAAAAACAGAGTGAGTTAAATATTACCACTGAATTGATCACTTTGTGAATAACAGCAATCTAATTTTGAGAGAAATCTTTCAGGATGTCTAAAAGATGATGACAACATGTGGACACGAGAGCAGCATCACAGCAGAGACATCCAGATACTCTTCTAATACAAGATTGTTTGGTCACTTGGTTACATGTGCACAGTTTGCAATGACAGTAGATGACACTTGATCTCCCTACATCCCTCATGATTAAATATAACACTAAATAACAAAATGTTCCTGGTCTAGGCTTATATATGGGGACACACACTTCACTTCCACAAGCATCACATTTCTGTAGGGTGGCTGTAGCTCAGGCGGTAGAGCAGGTCATCTACTGATCGGAAGGTTGGTGGTTTGAGTCCTGGCTTCCCCGAGTCTGCATGCCACATATCCTTGGGCAAGATATTAACCCCAAATTGCTCTCCGATGCATCCATCGGAGTATGGATGTGTGTGAATGCTACTTAGAAAGCACCTAGAACAATGTGACAATGTGCTTGTGTGAATGGGTGAATGCAAAAGTTGTGTAAAGCGCTTTGAGTGCTCAGAAGAGTAGAAAAGCGCTATATAAGAACCAGTCCATGTCTTCTTTCATTTGTTTTCAATTCAGTGGAATTCAGTTTTATTTATACAGGACCAAATCACAACAACAGTCACCTCAAGACACTTTATGTTGTAATGTAGACCCTACAATATTACAGAGAAACCCAACAAGACCAGGTTTCCTCCAGAAGGTTTGCCAATTACCTGTGAAGCCCACAAGAACTTTGCCTACTCGTGTCTTGCTTTGCTGTGTAATTAAATTGTCCTTAACGTTCCAGCGAATAGGTTTATGCTACAAACCTATCACCTGTGCGTCCAAACTGTAAATGAATCACGCATGAGCGAAGCCGCTGCTCCCGCACTGACTGTAACGCAGTCAGTTCTTCTTTTACTCTTATGTTGTTTTGTG